GTGAGCGGCACGACGGGGGGGCCCCTCCCCCTTTCGCGCTTAACCCCAGGGACAACTCGGACCCACGGAGAAAAAAAAAAGGCTTTTGTTCTACAAAAGCATTCCATGTCAAGGCTCAGGATGACAAGCAGGAGCAAGGTCAAGGTATTGTGGTTGAAGTGTAATTGCCCGGCGTTATCACCCCATAATAAGGCGCAAGAGGTAATTAAAACACCCAGTCCTAATTACAGTCATTACGCCTGATGCCAGAACCAGACACTGAAGGGAAAACGGTGACGTAAGGTCACCGAGCACACAGCTCATCTCAGTGTTCTCAAGCTACCTGCGTTGTTACGCAGGAACGTGCGATCTGTGGCACTTAAGGACAAATTCCCACAGCCGACTTTGACTGACTTTATGTCGTGTGTTGTCATTTTTCTTACAGTGCGCACTAGTACGCTGCAGATAAGCATCACTGGTATTTAAAGAGACACTTCCTGGAAGCATGTCACAAAACAAGAGGCTAACGTGTTGACAACAACACTGTGAGAAACCACAACGAGGCACTTACCATTTAAGGAAGAGACTGCGTCAATGTAGTGCAAGGCTGTTGTTTTGCGTTTTTTTTGCTGGGTTCTCATTAACTTGTAGAAGATTTCTCAGAATTTTTTTTTAAGATTATTCAGACACTTTGGTTTATCATTCCTGGTATATGAACAGGGGAAATTAGTCATTGACCAAAATGCTACAATTTGGCTATGCTTACATATACTATTTGACTTCTGTTACTTAAAGGTAAAGGTAACAGCTAATTGACTAAAATGTCAATGAGATAGCTAGCTAACGTGATGATAGCTAACCGGCACAGCAGCAGAACTCAACAGTAAGCCAGCTGCTGTTAAAGAAGTCAGATTCATTTTAGTTTCCTTCTACTTTTTTCTTCAACGGTCATGTCAACATGTTGACTTAGACACTGACAGTCTCACCACATGGATCCCAAATGTCAGCAAACGAGAGGTAAAAAAAGTTCATGCGTAGTTGTGTTTTTCTGACTTTGTACTAGATGAATAACAAATAACTATATCCAGTTTCCTCAGCAGTGAAGTGAGAAATGTTTAAAAAGTCATAAAAATGACCACTATCATTTTCTTTTTACTGCAGTGGCATTTGCAAGCCAGTGCTGTGTACGAGAACTTTAACACAAACAAACGTTGGAGGGTTGGCCTGATGTGATTTAGAGTCTGGTTTTTCCCCAATGAACTTTTATAGACCTTTGGTTTTCTTTTTCTGTAATGCCTACTGTCTTACCACTCCAGAACTAGGATGATTTCAGTGTTGGTTTCGTAGACCTCATGCAGCGCCACCACATATGGGTTTGCCTTGGCCGTCTCCAGAACAGAAATCTCATTCAAGATGTCCATGCGGCAGTCCTCGCCCTTCCGTCGCTTTCGCAGGAACTTGGCGGCGTACTGCTTCCCCGTTGCCTTCTCAATGCACTTCTTTACAACCGCAAACTTTCCCCTGGGAAACAAAGAGCAGAGAGAGCCAGAGAGTGATTAGTAGGAGACAGAATAATCCCAGCCACATTACTGACTTTTCAAATAGATTTGGTCAGAGTCCGTTCTGTTCTGCAGCCATGTGGCCAGCGGGACCACTGGATCAAGAAAATTACTGGACACAGACATCACGGTTAAACTGCTCTGAGGTGAAAACTTGATTACAGTGCAGGACCCCGGAGTGATGTAGGACACCAACAAGCCACAAGTGCAGCGGTGTGGTCATAGAACTGTTTGGAGATAAGGCATTTAAGTGGAATCATTAAAAAAGTACAGACACTTGTATTGACCACTGATATTCACTTCATGGGAAGCATTTTCATTATAAATATTCCCTCTGCTCCTTTTTGTTCTTTTGGCCTTTAGATGGGACCGAAAAGTGAAAGTTGGATCTTCTTCCTAACACATGACTTCATCACTTTCAGTGTTTTTTTTCTCCATGTACTGACGGATTGGTAGGAGGTGTTAAGGGTCATCAGTGGGTGCGAGCAGGATGTCCGATGTGTGCAGAATTGCCCCAGTGTTTGGCCCACCACGCTCACCAGCCGTCCCCGTCTAGGCTGATAATAAGGCCTTGTCCGTTCTCCTTTCTTCACAGCTGACAGCAGCAGGGACAAATAGAATTATGTCAACGCCTCTGCCCAGACCCTTGGCCAGAGCCTGTCTCTCTTTTGACAACAGCACAAAAGCTGACCAGTCAGTTAACACTGCCTCCCCACGACTGGGACCACCCATCAGCCTGCTGCTGGGCAGGCCAGGCAGGAGGTCACTGCTGTTACAGTCAGCCTGGAGCCTCAGCAACATGCCAGAGTGGATAGTGAAATCTCAACATCTATATCCGAGCAACAGCCAAATGTAATAATGAGTCGCTCCAGACAGATACATTCAGGAAGAAGGAAAATGCATACAGGATGTGAAAAAGATGTGTGAACTGGGCACAGGGTGCAAAAAAGGCCAGCGGAGTCAGCATGGTGCCAGTCGTTTTCCCACACACTGTTGCTCTAAGCCCACCGCGCTGTCGACCAAAAACAGCAACTGTTCTGGCCGGAGCCTGGCCCTGTTTTGGCTACGGCCCCAGCTGCTGTGGGGCCTGCTCATTCTCCTTTTGCCTTTTTTGCAGAATGGTGACGGGTCATTGTTCGGAATGAAAAGGCAAACCCGTCAGAGTCTTTTCATCCTTAATTAGCCAAGTTCAGAGCAGCGCAACGTGGGCTGGGAACTACATACGGAGTGAAAGGTGTAACTGCTGACCATCCAAGGGAGCAACAGGAGGCCTTACACTGGCTGACAACAAGCCAGAGGTTTACTAAATGAGGCCATTTTCCACCCATCAATGTTCACATTCTTCCACTTTCCACTTATATTTTCATGTTTGATTTTAATTAATATTTACCCTACTTTTGAAGAAAAGGAAAAAAGAGAAAACACAAGCATAGGGCAGCACAGTTGCAGATGAACTTGTCGCTCATTAAAATTGACTTGAACCTTTTCTGTGATTCTTCGACACATCTACCTCTCTTTGGGACATTCCTGAATGCTTCATCTCAAAGCACTCTGCCTGAATCTGAATTGAACGGCTTACTTAGAGAGTCTTATTCATCAAACTACGACTGTTGTCAACTTTAATGTGACACACAAAGCAAAGTCCTCCCACAGACAAGGCTGGGGACGGTGATATGTCCATTTAGAGACTCGATTTCCTGCGGCGCACGCGGTTTTCATCTCTCCCTGCGGGTCACTGACTTCATGCCTGAAGTGCAATGAGAAATGACAGCACTCATTTGCTTGTTTCACAGTCGGACTGACACGCAACATGAGTTCCCTTCCTGCTTTCAGACCAGCCACAACATCTCATTGTGCAAACATCTGCAGGGGAGCGCACGCTTATAATGCAAATCCGTTCTGAGTGATTTTGAAGTGCGGACCATGTACTTTTAAAATTTAAACTTTAAAATTAATAATTTCTACTGAGGTCAACAACCGTCCTAATGTACAGACTGCTCTGCTAATCCCATGACACGCAGCCCCACGTACATTCCTCTCCTTAATGCGATTATGAGTCTCACTCTTAGAATGCTGTTGGGTTGGAGTCATGAGAAGAGGGGGGTAAGAAGGATGAAGGGTCTGAGAGAGAGCGGAGGGAAGCGGGGAGAGGACGCGTATGAAAGCCGCCTGGGTCAGAACTTCACAGGCGGCTTCACGTCAACCTCCCCCATACGTTTTTGGCTGCCGTCCCAGGTTGTCTGACAAAGAAAACTGAACGCTCCCGGCAGACTCTTCATTCAGCCCGCTCCATCACACGGTGCAGATAAGTTAAAATGAAAAGCTGAGTTACAGGGACAGATGCAAGACTGGCTCACGTGCTGACCAGACAGCTGCAGTGTTAAGTGAATATCAAGACGTCTCCAGCGGTTTCTGCAAAGTAATTCACAAGTGTTTCCGGAGACGGGTAGTTACTGTCTGACAAACTGGAGCATATGGTGGAATAAAAAAAAAAAATCTGGTCAATGTCTTGCAAATGCCATACAAGAGCAGAGTGGCTGGGATCCAAAAATGGGCCAAAAAAAAAAAACAAACAAAAAAAACCTCCAGATTGGAGTATATGGTATATATAAAAAACATAGAAAACAAATCCTTTTGAATCAACAAAAGTTGTATATGTTCCACACTGCAATAATTGACTTGTCTGAAAGCCACAAGAGACATTTAATATAATAATAATTTAATAAATAATTTCTCAGACATTCAGTAGCAGTAAGTAATTGAACATAATTTGTAGTTATTTTCCAGTAAAAACTTTCACTTCAATATTCGTTGCAACAGCCAGGTTGCACAGAAAGGCTGTGTTTTGCTGCTGCTGCTTCTCTTAAAGCCTTTTTTCCATGGGCTGGAATGTGGCACTGGAAATATTTCATTAGTTCACTTCCCACTAACATGTGCAGAGAACAAACCTTAAAGTGATTACCAGATAATCTGATGAAGAAAGGAGTGCTTGGTCTACACTGGAAAACAAGCACTCGAATTCATCATTCCTATACACTTTTATCAAGGAGTTTGAAATGTAAAAACCCTCATACTGTGGTTAAAACATTAGTGTATGCATAAAATAAACGTTTATTTTATTGTATTGCATTGTAACCAAATATTAGGCACCAAGTTTGATGATTTTTGCAAAGAAAGTCTAATAGCACAAAGGAAGGGCAAAAACAACCTAAAAGTAAGGGAAAAGTAGCAAAAAAATAAATAAATAAAATAACAACAAAGAGCCATTAGCTTATTCAAACAACCCTTAATGTTATTAAAAAGAGTTAGATTAGCTTAAAATATTTAATAAGAATTTGCCATAAGAAGTCGCAAAGGTAACTGCAAAATTACTAGATAAACAAGTTGTTGACAAATTATTCAAACTGGCTAAAGGTAGAAAAAAATAGATAGATGTCAAACAGAAAATATATACCAAGCAGATAAAATTTGGACAGTTTAACAAAAAAAAGTTACTGTAGCTCATAGACAAGACAGGTAAAAATGAACAAGTGCTTACCAAAACGTGATTAAAATATAGTGTGAATAATTAACGAATTTACTGAGGAAAAAGAAGATCCTGTTCAAATGTATATGACCACAAACACCAAGTCCAAGTGTCATGATTGGACCCAGAGCCAGCCTATGAACATTGTCATAAACAGTGGCAATGTTTTATTTATAATACTTGTGATCACACATTTAATATACTCTCTGGTGTTATTCCAGTGACGTTAAAAACAGAATATTTACCAGCTATATGAATGCTACATAAAATAAGTCTAATTTAATGTACGTTTTATTGAAAAAACTCCAAGTCAGCACACGCTTATGTATTTTAACAAACTCACCTTCCAAGCTCTTTGCCAACCAAATCATAGCAGGCAGTGAACGGGTCACTTCTTATCCTCGTATGGATTTTTGTCATCATTCCGTTTTTGTTCATCGTTTCTGTGTATAGCATTGAAGTCAGAAAGTGTCAGACACACAGACAGACAGACGGAAACCAAGTATCCTCCACAACAGACGCTGTAATTCTGTTCAGATCAGGTGAAGACTCGCATGATGACAGTGAGTAGACCGGACACAGTAGCAACTGCAGCTGAGTTAATCCAGAAACTGCACCGCGACAATGATAACAAAGCAGTGAATGAAGTTTCACTGCTACTACATATTCTTCACAATAAACTGCTGTTTCAGCCCCGCCCCTAGAATGACGACTAGCCAATGATTACGCAGCAGAGGCGGGACCCAAAGGCAGCTGCCAAGTGATGCGTTTGAAGTACTCATTAATGCAGAGAAGCTAACATTAGCACAACTTTTTAACGATTATTATACTGACTCGTCGAAAAAAAAGAACGTTACAGGCAAGACTCAGTTTCTAAATGTGTTAATGTTTAATGTTGGTAAATGTTAAATTGAACTTAACTGAACTGAAGTTCAGTTGAACCAAATTATAGTTTGTTAAAAGAAACGCAGGTACAAAATAGTGTTGATTGTTGTGTTAGGGAAGCCATTTTTTTTATTTTTGTACAGAAATAGAGGTAGGTGTCCAAATAATGTTACAGCTTTTTATTCAGTAGTTATTGTTACTTTTTTATTAACGACCTATGAAAATGTATTCAATAATAATGGCCTGGTTTTTCCTTTTTCTGTTAATCATTCATTTATTATAGCGTTTTAGGCTCTAATTAAGTTAACATCACAATAAAAAAAGGTAACATCACTCTCTTAAGAACAAAATGTTCTTTTTTTAGGCGTGTGCTCGCATATATAATATATATATAAACATATATATAAGTGAACATTGTTCAGTGGTTTCAGGCTACACTTTCTTACAGAGTTTCAGGCTCCTATTGGATGTCATTCTCTTCTAGTTACAAAACTGATAAAATGTCCATGTTAACATACAAAGAAATCTGAGATTACGAAACAGAAAACATTAATACCCTCATTTACGCCTATGGGCACTTGAATGTACCCTTAACCTAATCTCCAACCTGTTTTTGGTAGAACAATGGAGAAAACACAGCAGCAGTCGCACACATATACAGACACACACAGTAAGAACATGCAAACTCCATACATAAAACACGTACTGAGCTGAGGCACAAACATTTATGCTTTAGATTGAATGCAAAACAATTAATTTTCAGTAGAAAATATATTAAATGCATTGTCATTGCAGTCCTTTATCCTTCCTTTCAACCTTCATAAGTCAAGAATTTGAAAGTCCATGAGAAGAAAACCCAAACCAAAACACAGTGTTCATATT